TCGATAACTTTATAGAAGATTGGAAAGAGGAGTATAATTTCAGGAACTATATTAAAGAGAGTAGATATAAAAATCTTCTCGAACCAATCTCACAAGAAGAATTATATGAAATACTCAAGATGTTTCCCAATAACAAGGCTTCAGGCAAATCTCAGATTAGTTATGAGATGTTAAAAAGATTAAGCCAGGATGGAAAAGAATACCTGAGAAAAATGCTTAACAACTTCTTAAAATGAGAAGTTACTTCTATATTCTAGAGGCAAAGTCATATATATTCCATAGTCAAGTTAAAGCCTTAAAATTGTAAACTTTTAAATATGAGACCTATCATGTTATTGGAGATCACTAGAAAGTGTTTTACCAAAGTCCTGATCAATAGAATAGGGAATATTTGTAAGATCAATAATATCTTCAGAGGATTCAACTATATAGGGTTACCAGGAGAAAGTATAGCAGAACCAATTCAAATTTTGAATAACATCTATGAAGATATAAAAAAGAACAAAAAAGAGCTGTGGATACTGTTTCAAAATATAGTCAAAGATTATGACACTATTAGTTTGGATATGCTAGTAAAAGTGATGGAAAGAATCAAGGTACTGAAAGATTTTATCAAAATCATAATGAGCCTTTTTAAAAACAAAAAATTCAAAGTCATATTTGAAGATAATCTAACTAATCCTATAAAAGCAGGGAATGGAATCAATCAAGAAGAGACTATTTCACCATTAATATAGAGAATCTTCTATGACCCTTTATTGTGCAAAATCCAAAATAACATAAAGAGGATATAAAATGTCAGTTACTTAGAATCCAGATTTTAACAATCACAAGGTTGAAAAGTTAGAATCAAGATATGCTGTGATAGACTTCATGGATGATATAACATGAATAGCAAGATTCAAGAAAAATATGAAAAAGATCTTGGAAACAACAAGAATTTTCTATAAGGCCAATGACTCTCAAATCAATAGTAACAAATCAGTTTTAGTTACTATTAACAATCCTAATTATTATCCAGAAGAAGTCCAGGTAGGCATTAAAAAAGAAATAGTTAAAGAGCTTGACAGGACAAATTAAGCAAGATTTCTAGAAATTTGGATGGGCAGCCAAAAGATCTGGATAGAACTAAAGAAAAAAGTGCTCAAAGAAATTCATGTAATTGTTAGAGCTCTCAAAAATAAAAAGATGATGGACAAGCAGGCACTCTATATTTTAAATAGGGTATTAATATCAAGAATAAAATTTAGAATGCAGCATAGCATATTGTCCTGAAAAATATGCAATATGTTAATAGTAGCATATAGAAAACTCTTTAAACACAAAAGTTTATTATACAGATCTACTCCTAAATGTGTGATATATCATCCAAAGATCCATAATTTGAAGAGTATCTGGATATTACAAAAAGAAAGTCAGATAACAAGATTGCGTAATAGATTGAATGATCTTGGATCTGCAGGAATTACAATAATTATAAGGCTCAAACAAGTACAAATCAAATATTGGGAACCACTCAACCTGCTGATTTGTGACTCACTAGATCATCTTATAGACAAAGGCAACTTTTTGCTTCAAATAATTAAGTTAGCTAGAGATATGGGAATTATTTTTCAAAGTTAAAAATGGCACAATATCTTTGAATAAGAAAAAAAAATAATCTGATTCAGGAATATCTCTCATCTGAGAAGTATAATAAAGTCATACCATTACTAAGAAACAACAAGTTGATGTATATAGATCAGCTTATCGACTATGAAGCCAATGAAATAAGAAATTAATACATGCTCCAACTCATCCAAAAAACTGATAAAGATCCTATCCCAGAATGGTTTTTAAATATAAGTAGAATGTTTCCCAAGGATTATTTAAATCAATTCATAGAGTCATGAAAAATAGATTGGTTAAAATGGAAGCCAACATATTCTATAGTCAGCCCTAACCATAACAAGAAACAAAAAATATGGATATAGTAATTAAAAAGAATGCCAATCATCAACTAATATGGGGAAAGCTACTATAAGAAGAATCTAAGAAAAAAGTAAAGATCAACACTACAAGTATCAGAATAATGAAAATGGTCAAGAGACAAAGTTAATTAAATGCATGAGTTGCCCAGAAGGTTTTATTCAAGAACAAAATTGTATCATGAAGGAAGATATAGAAGAGATATATATGATACTATATCTTAATACAAGAAAAAGTACTAGGAGAGCCCAGATACTAATAATCACATGTCCTACAATATCTTTGGAAAGAGTAATCAAGAAAACAATAGATAGCAATCAAGTATTTGTACAGAGTCTACAGGGGCCATTCCAGCAGTCCACTTTTCAAGGTATCAAGATGGATTATGTAAATATAGAAAGTTGGAAAGAAATGATCATTAAAGAGAATGTTAAAGAAGGAGTATATTAATATTATCTAATAGAAATACTCTAGCGTAATCTAGGATTCAAACAAAAGTTAATCTTTTATTCAGATAGATCACTAATAAATCATGGTAGTGACAATATGAAAATGGGAGCAACATGGATCCAAATAAGCAATGCAAGAAAAGAAAGTAGATTTTAAACAGAGGTAGATAGTTGGTTCTCATCTACATGTGCAGAACTAACAGTAATAGTCACAATACTTTTAGTAGTTTCAGTAGGTAGCTCAATTGAAATCTCTACAAATAGTCAAGCTTGTATCTCAAAGTGAAAAATAGTTAAGAAGATGATTCAAAAAGAACACATAAAAGATAGCTAAAGGATAAAAACTGGTCATTATGGGTATGAATAGTGGAGCTAGTCAAGAAAAAAAACCTAGGTCTGAAGCTTATCAAGGTTAAGGCATATTTTCAAGACCTCTATAATAATAAAGCAGATGCTCTAGCCAAAGATGCTTTTAAACTTTCAGCAATAAAATGGAAAAATCTTACCTCATACAAAATCCCTACAGAAATCAAGTGGCAAAACAAAACTTTAGATGATCCTATAAAACAATTTATCAAGAAAATGAATAATAAGACTAAAGCATATCAATAGACATTACAAAGTAGAACGGAAAGAAAATAGAGTCACCAAATTCAAGAACAACAAGGTCATATATGGGATCTAATATGAGAGAGAATGAATAGTTATATATGGGATATATCTTTCAAAGATTGTTAAAGAAAAAGCTTCCTGATCAAGCTAATAAATAATGAGCTACCAACATTAAGTAAATTGATGATAGGAAGGTCAGACCTATACAAACAAATAAAATGTACTATATATGATCTTTAGGAGGAAGAAACAATTAATCATTTATTAGAATGTCCAATGTATAAGGAACAAATGAAAAAGATATAGAATAAAGGTCTCGAAGGAGTTCTGACAAATTTCAAAAAACTTTAATAGAAAAGGAAAAAGGAAGTAGAAGAGAAGAATATTAGATTAATAGTGGATGACAGTGAAGAAATAGGTGAAGTAAACAAGTGAACATCCAGGCTAGTAGAACAGTTCTTAGTAACTAGTCAGGATATACTAAGTTTTTTTGCAGGGTTAATAAGAAGTGAACTTATTCTTGAAATAGCAGACCTTAAATACCATGGTAAAAGAATTGAAAAAGAAGCAAGAAGATGGATCAAGAAGTTGCAAAGTATGACTTGTAACCAGTTCTGGAAAAAGGTTTGAAATGTAATATGTGAAAGGATGATAGAATGGAAAATATTATAAGAAATCCAAAAGAAGGACAAGATAAAAAGACACCCTAACCTTCCAGGTACCAAAACCATATGACTGAAAAGAAAAACTTCAATATTGGAGGAAGGAGGATTAGAAGATAAAGACCAAAAGATATTTTATCAAGAGGAGTTAGATTTGGGATGAGATGGTTGGGTTTTGAGCAATATCAGAACTTAAAAAATGATCTGCAGTAGTGACCTGTAGGCAATGATATTATGAGTTGAAAGGATTTTTGCCTGAACTTCTAATGGAGCAATAAATCACTTCCAAAGTTACACTTAGAGTAGTAGTAATTACAAAGACGAATGAGTTAGTTAGCATTTTTTAGTTTTAGTGATTCATATTATATGTACAGTTTACAAATGTTTAATAAAGTACACATAACTAGCCTGAAATAAAAGCTTTAAAAAAATCAAGACAATTAAAAAGAAAGAAAATATATCTTTATATTATAATAGAATCTTTATAATCTCTTATTTCAAAGGTTAAAAGGATCTTCAAATACTTCATATTCAATTCTTCTTTCTTTGAAAACTTTCTTACCATTGATATCAAAGATATTATTTGATTCTTTTTGATCACTAGGAGTCAAGTTTTTGAATAAGAAGATTTGTAAACATAAGAAGAAAGGTAAAAACAATTTTTGAAATTATACTTTAAGTTGTTTTAATGAAAATGTTAAGACTTTATTAACAAAAAAGTGAAAAAATTTCTTGTAAACATCTTTTTTGTATAATCACAAAATTAGTAAAAAGAGTTTATTAATAACATAACTGATTTTTTTTTGAAGATACAAAAATGTTATATATGATTTTTTGATTCCTATATTTTGAATAATATATACATATACAATAATTGATTTATTCTTAAATCTTAAAAATTGTTGATTATGCACTGACGTAGAATGACACATCGGGGCGCTCGACATAAAATTGTCACACAAGTCAAGGTTACTGATATGTAACTTAATTCCTAATTTATTTTATTATGAGAAACTTTTGTCACCTCTTAGACAGTGCATATGATAAATTTTGTCTCATGTGCATATACACGGAATATAATATCCGGTACAAAGTGTTGAAAATAAATAGGTTACGATAGCAAGTATTCTATAAGAATGGAGGAATAAGTTAATTAATTACGATAAATAAAATCATAACAATTTACCTTCACAAAGGTTCCCCAGGCAATCCGAGCATTCGGTATCAGTTTTATTGCAACCACAACCACATAACGTTACACCATCTTCGTCAATGATGGTAGTGTGCTTGGGCCGAGTACTTACATGAGATACGGAAGAAGATGAACAACAATTATTCCCAGATGACGATGAAGAGGCGGTATCTACCCGAGCTTCAAAATGTGATCGTGAATTACACCCATCGCAACGACAACTAGTCCCGCACCTGCATAACGATACCGCGGCGCCACAGCAACTACCGTCCGCCATGGCAGATGAACAACTTCGAAGGGAATGATAAATGACCTTAACTATGCCATCAAATGATTGTTCTCGACCGTTAGGACCTTTTTCTAATGTATCATCCTCATTTCGCACAGAAGAATTAAAACTATTTGAATTTGAACCAAGGGATATAGATGGTGGTGGTGTCGATAAATCTTTGACAAGGAGTTCATTCAATGAAGGCAAAATGGTACTACGCTCATTATTAATGTCTCCTCTCCAGAACTGGTATTGTTCATTTAACGACGGTGTAGACAAACTATTATCTTCAAAATTATTATTGTTAGATACTCTGCTAGAACATGATGTATTGCTATTATCCATAAGGCAATTTTGAGTCGAAAAAATCTCGGTTGGACGACAGCAAATACATTCTGCGCCTTTCACACACTGACATGGATTCAACAATGCCGCAACTATATAAATATAATCTTATAAATATAATCTAATTATAAATGATCGATCTTTATTTTACTCGATAAGTAAAACATTTTACCTGAAGTTTTATCTCCTGTAGTGGACTGATCATCTCTTTCGTTAACACTTGAAACTGCGGAATCTTGGGAGGTATTATCTCGTTAAATGTTTGAATAGAAATACGATTGTAAACACGGAGTCTTAGCTACCTTCTGTTTCTCTAATAAGGCAATTGCATTTAGCGTGCACTTTCTTAGTTCTTCGGAGTTCTCGGCAATGAGAACATTGAGTTATTGGACGACCTTTTTTCTTTATTTCGAATAAAAGACGATCACTATGCTGGCACGTAGTAGAACGATGTCCCTTGATACAAGTAGTGCTATTTAAAGAAATAGCTTGATGTTTCAACGGGTTACATTCAACTCGAGTGATTTATTTTCACACAGATTTATACTAAAAGTTGACTTACCATGCATATTTTACACCATTTATGAATACCATGACTGAGACAGAAGGGGACGGTATTGTTAAGAAAAATTTGGAAGATGGAGACAAAAAAAAAAAAATTGGCATCACAAATTACGTGATAAACCATTGTGTACAGTATATACCGTATTTGGGCAATTACAGTATTTTCGAAAGCGACCAAAATACTAAATATGATTGTCTTGCTAAAAAAATCGATACGATATTCTTTCACCGTTTTTCTTGATCACCTCTTGACATCTTTATCGACACAATAACTTCTGGTATATTTTCTTGAAGAAAAGTTATGACAAGGTAGCTAATGTACTTCAGATCATTGTCCGACACTGAGTACCAAGCATTCTCTCTACCTCAGGCACATGTTCACAAAGGATATTGACATAAAACTTAGCATCCATCATTTCTTAGAATTTTGATTTTTTTCCTTCAAAAAATTTACCCACATTATAATTTTCTCAACCTTTTGAAATAGAATGAACAGGTCTTTAACCCTTATATTAACATTTTATTGTATTACGAAAGAGCTGAAAGGTTATTTTGTCTGTAAAAATATATTTTTTCAATCATCTTTGGTATATTTAAGTCCCCATTCAACACGTGCTTGTTTTTGAGCCTCAGTGAGAATTGATTTTTTTGAAAAGATCATTTTTATATCCAATATTAATTAAATATCATTGAACTGTCTTATAACTTTTTTTCTATTAGTTTGGTGGCTATAGCTCTTGCTGGAATCTATGAATATACTGAGCTATTGCTCGTACCGTGGATTTGGTAAGCTTCTTTGATCACCCGTTACCTTTTGTATAAATTTTTATACTTGTTTTTTAAAAAAATTTTTTGTTATTATAAGAATTGTTTAGATAGGAATTTTTGTTATTATATATAATTCTTGGGCATTGTGTACTCTTTCATTTCAATAATACAAAAGAACTTTACATCTTGATAGTCAATATTTTGCCATATTTCAACAATAAGTCAAAATACAGTATAAGAAATTATAAAAAAAAATCTTTCTTTAATTTTTTTTTATAATATCTGTAGCCAGGTTAGATACATAATTTGTTAATCAAAAGAATACATGAGTATATTAATAATTATTTTTGAAGGTAACAATATGATTTTTTTGACAATATACATATAATATAAATTTTAGAATCACAATTGTAATATCAAAAAATTTTTGATCTGCCTTTGAAATACTGTAATTATTCATATTATATTTTTTATAATTTAAAAAATTATTTATTAAAATTTATTTAATAATTTATTAATAAATTTATTATAAAAGTCTATTTTAAAGTTTAAAAAACTATTTTATAAAATATATTATAAATTTTATAGAAAATTATATATACTGTAATATATATATAGTTACTTTCAAAAGTAAGATCTACAAATCAATAGTGCAGTAGTTATTAATTTATAGGTTAAATTACAAGATATAGGTTCAAATTTTTCAAGGGGCTAATATAATTTCCCTGATAAAAAAACAAATAGATAGAATTTAATAAATCATCTATTGACCTAATCATATTTAATCAATGTTTCTAAGTATAGTTGATACAAATCAATATAATCAACAGTTTTCATTAAGTCTTGTTAAAAATCAAAATCTCCATAACACAGAATGGTTTATATAAAGATTGTGATCAGATTTCTATCTGAAATTGAGTAGAATTATCCTTAATAGAATCATATTATTATTTATTGATAACAAGAAAAGTAGATCTCTAAATTAATTGTATGCCACTGAGAAAAGATTGACTAAAGATCTTATTCAATTTCAAGACTTCAAATATGTATTTATGCTTTGACCCATAAACTTAACAATCGAGAGGTCTTAATAGGAGGAGAAATCTGCAGACCACCTCAAAAGATCAAAATTCAAATCCAGGATAAAAAAAATTCAATAGTCTAATAATCAGACTACTCTTAATAAAACTGGTTTAAAAAAAATTAAAAAGAAATCATATAGTTTTTCAATAAGGTAATGCATATATATAATTAATAAATATATAGATAGCTATTCATATATATATATATTACTAATATAAGTAGATATATGAGTATTTATTAGTATATATATTGTCTATCTGTATACAAAGAGTAATGTAAATGACTAAGCCAAGACAGTTGTCTTATATGAATATATAGATATATTACTAATAAAAATTATGACAATGAATTTATGACTTAATGAATAACAAATGCAATAGACAACTTTTATATCTTCAAAATTTTCATACCACTCTTTCCACTGATCCTCTGACCACACACAAAAAAGACATTCACAAGAAGTTTTCATACTTCCATGTTAATAAAGTCTTAATACTTTCCTTAAACCAACTTAAAAAAACTTCAAGAGTTATCACCACTTCCCTCCCTTCTTGTTAATACTTCTCTTTGAACAAAAACTTGACTGCTAGTGACCAGAAAGTCAAGCAACACCTTTCCTACCAAGGGCAAGAAAGTTCCAAAAGGAAGAAGAACTGATGTATCGTCATTTCACACTGTAGAGAAACACTACAGAAGTTTGTGTTATGATGAGAGACAACTTTCCCACTCTCTTGTCATTAGTTTGCTTCTCATAGTGCTTGTTCTTGGTTTTTTTCTGGAGAATTTTGCCTACCTCAGTTTGACCCTAAATTTTGAGTAGCACAAAGTTTCTCACACCATGATTGGATAGATAGAGCTCATATCAGTAAAAGAAGTAAACAAGCTCTTATTAATCACCTCACGTGTTTGAATACATTTCCTCAGCTCCATAAGAACCTGGGATCCACTATAAATCATTGCTAGGTTGGTGTGGGTGGATAAAAGACACAGTACCCAATATATCTTAGGAAACAGGAATGAGTCCATCTGATTATGGTAAAGGTTACAAGACACTTCAATCATTTTTGGAATTGAAGTCACCTACCCTTAGCAGTCAAGTAGGTTCTCTTCATTTCTACAGATAGGTAAAGATCTGTTCTTTCTTTTATAAAAAACAAACAAGGTGGACAGAAAGTTTTTTCTTAGCCAGTGGATTTTTTACTTCTGATCCATGGTTTGCTGGAGGACCAGAAACCAAAGCTACCTCAAGACTCTCGATGAACCTCACCCTTTAGAAAGGCTTTAAAGCTACCAGTGGTACCCATCATTCTTACTTGTAGTGAAATTACTAGTTGAAAATATTTGCTAGAATGGAAGAATCCCCTCTAAGCTGAATCTACCTTTGGAAGTTTTGCATCTTCTTAAATAAGCAGCAAATGCTTGAAGATAATATTACTTATAGGACTGGATTTATCAACCCCACCAAAGGTTTTAAGGTATCTCCTTGGCCATAGGACCTGCCAGGTCTTTGAATGAGTAATTCCCTTCCCTTCTTTACCCTTCTCCCTTCCAAAGATGCAGAGACACAGTACTCCGGTGAATAATTCACAAGGTGTCAGATCAGTCAATGGTGATCTTTGATAAATGGTCGATAGGAGCAAAAAATTTAGGTCAATTATCCGGTGTTCCGCATAGTTTCAAGAAAATTTTTTCAGCACTAGTTAAATATTAGACTAGTTTTTCTTCAAGAGGTGTCCAGGTCACAAGGTGAAGTCTCCATAAAGGAGCTCTTCTATTGTAATACTTTATTTGTCTTAATGTTTATTATATATAGTCTCAGAGGAACTATGTTTTCTCCATTTTATATAAGGATTCCTCAATAAAGTTCTAGCTCAGCTAGCATTTTAAAAAAAAAAAAAAAAAAAAAAGATATGTGCATCCACACATATATGGAGTTTTTTTCGATTTAAAATCAAATTATTGTACTAATGCTAATCATAATGAAGATCTTTAAATTTCTTTGCTTATATTTAATATTAATAAGACTTAAAAGTATATTATTTTAGTAATATACCTTATTAGTAATTATATTTACCTTTTCATAACAGATTCTATTATCTGTCATATAATTACAAAGTTCTTCAAAATTCATTTTAATCAATACATTACTAAACCATAAGCTGTTATGATATTTACTAGATGCCTGGATGATTTGACTATTTTCTATTATTACTGTTCCAAATATTGTTAATATAAAATGTTTTATAGAAATATTAGTGACATTAAAATATAATT